CCCCCCCCCCCCCTCTCTCTCTCTCTCTCTCTGTTAATTTACTTCGCCCAAGTTAATTTACTTTCTTCAGCTATCTTCCTTTTCTTTTCTCTAACAAAAGTTTATTTATTCTAGTTATTATTTTTACTTTCCCTTCTTACATTTTATTTTTATTTTCGGTAATTATGCATTTTAACAGAGCAACCTTCAATGACCTTGATCTTGACATATGTTATAGAGGTCACCCTCCTGAGTAACCCTCAGAAAGTTTTAGGCGGCGCTCGTTGTTTCTTAAAAAATTATTAACAAAAGAAGTTGCATAAAATGAATGTAATTTTTGGGCACCGTGTATACAAAAACAACGAATTTCAATGCTAGGAAGATGCTTGCTACACACACACACACACTGCTCGCCAGCAAGCGAAAAATATCGAACGACGAGCGGAGGGCGTAGCCCCCCGCACCCCCCTAAAAACTAACTTAACCCAACCTATCGTCACATTACCTGTCAGTCATTGTTTATTAAAGTGTCCAACTTTTTTTCTTAATAATTTTTTAATGAACAATGACTGACGGCTAATGTGACGATAGGTTGGGTTAGATTAGTTTTTAAGGGGGTGCGGGGGCGCAGCCCCCCTCTCGTCGTTCAATATTGTTTTCGTGTTACAAATGTTAAAAATGTTAAAAATATTCTTAATTTAAATATTTTTATGGTAATTGTGAAGGAAAGGCCCACTCTCATCGATTTTGTTAAAATTTAGTAAGATAGTGTATTTTGACGCGTAAAAACCGAATCTGAAAGCTAAAAAGCTTTTGTGAGAAATTCACTTTTTAGCTTAAGCACAGGAGACCGCGACACTCACCTCGCTGCAGTGCGGAGGATCGAAGCCCCTCAATCACACAGCTAGAGATAGACGGTATGACAGATTTTCTAACCTAACGCGCCTTCAACTTTATCTATTAATATCTCGCTTCGCAGTAAAGAGCGACGGTTTTGTCAGAGGAAAAAGTTGTTTTTCGTACAAAAATGCGTCGATTAAGTCTATTTTTATCGAAATCGGAAGTGAGGTCACTAAACTGAATAATTACCAAATTCTTTTGTTAATAATTTTTTAAGAAACAACAAGCGCCGCTTAAAATTTGTTTAAGGTTACTCAGGAGGGTGATCTCTATAACATATGTAAAGATCAAGGTCATTGGAGATTGCTCCATTAAAATGCATAATTACTTTATTTTCTTTCTTCTTTTTCGTTTATGTAGAAGAAAATGTAGTAATATGAAACTTGGCAATATAAAACAAGTCTGACTTCTCAATCAACCGCTACAATTTGTCGATAACTTGAGCATAGCTATTAAGATTCTCATCAACCACTAAAATGGTCTTACGTCAATACTACGTTGTCTACAATGCTAAAATAAGCCACTTTGTTTTCTTCTTATTAAAACGTTTTATAAAATAAGATTCAAGATATTTTTCCCGTCTTAATCGATAAATCTAACATATTATTAACTTATTATTTGGAAATATTTTTTTGCCTTGAAATTCGTTGGATCATTTAGAAAATAGCTATGGAACAAAGTGTTTCATATTAATAACCACGCTTTACTTCAGGTATCACTATGCCAAAAAAAGAATTGCGATTGATACTGAAATAAGTACTTACGTTTTATACAGTAAGTGTGAAAGTGATGTTTTTATTTGAGACTATTTCATAGACCTATAAAAGACTTTTACGCAATTTGAATTATTGAGCTTTCTTCTCTTAATTCTTATAGAAATTTTATTTTATTTTACTTTTAACTTTTGATTTTTACATTCAAAAAAGTTCAATAAAAAAAATGTTTTAACACCAATAATATTATAATAAAAGTAAACGTTTTTATATTTATTATTATCCCGTTTTCCAAGATCCATTTTTGCAATATGTTTAAAAAATTTTTGTATTCTTTGAACAGTTAATTTTTTTCCTAATAATTAAATGAGAAAAAAAAATATATATATATAACTATAAGAGATATATTTGCTAACACTTCTAACACACACATACACACACATACACACACACACACATAGTTATTGATACAATTATTGCATTAAATATTGGATTTCTTGTCTAAAACAAAAAATATATTCACTTTACTATCTTTTCCGCTACAATCATTTGCATAAAGATTCGACATTTTTTTTATAAGTTTTTACACTACAATGATTCTTACACTTATGCTTATACGTTACTTTCATTCAATTCGTATTGAAAAACTGGACAGCTCTCAAATCTCTCAAATGTCCAAGATTATATAAAAAATTTCGCGCAGTCTCGTTAAATTTGTGGATCCATATACTTGTCCAAAATAAAGTGTCGCGACCATAAACTTAGAGATAGACTGCAATTCCATACTAAAGGGCTGAAGTTAGTATTAGTAAGAGAGGGTCATAGAAAGTAAAATGCTTTTCTTGTCTAATTAGTAGAGAAAAATAAATAGGAGAAACGATTATATATGTGGTCAATACTTCCTCTCTTTTATTTCCTTTATATCATCCACTCCTATACAGGGTGAGTTTTTTAACTTGAGACTGTAAGATATCTGGAAAAATGAGCATTGTACAAAAAAATGTTCCAAATAAACATTCAATATTTTAGAGGGCAATACTATGTTTGAATATAAAAATCGTAGATATCTATGATAATTTTTTATCTGTTTTTAGCTTTATTCGGGATTAACGACGTGACGGAAATTATAATCCCTTTGGGGTGCTTGTTTATTGTGAGTCTCCTTGTCTCTCATCATTTAATTCAATAAGTGTTCGAACTGATGACCTTCAATTTCGATGTATTTATTGATCCAATAACAAGAATGATTAACTAATTTTTTCCGAATGCAGCGCCATCTATCAGGAATCGAAAAAAATATTTCAGATAAAATTTACGTGTTTTTAGATGTAAAATCCGAATCTGCAATAAAAAATAGGGTTCCTATTTAAGATTTCAAAGTTATCCCCCAGCCCATCCCCAGACGGGGCGGGAGGCGGCTAACTTTTGCGGAATAGTATTGCCCCCTTGAAAATATTGAGGGTTTATTGGAACATTTTTTCGTACAATGCTTATTTTTCCAGATATTTTACAGTCTCAAGTTAAAAAACTCATCCTGTATAGTACTATATGACAGAAAAAATAGCTTACTCAACATATATCTGTCCTTTACTCTTAGCTTCAGCCACATCTCATAAGAAAATGTTCAGTCTATCTCTATAAGGCTATGGTCACAACTTTTGTGCAAACGACTGTATATATACTGGATATCCCATACCAACTATCAAATATTGAAATGATAAGTAATAAAAGTCAATTCGAGCCAAAACGTTCTTTGCCATTTTTTAATAGTAATAGTTAATAAATTATTAATTAATTAAGTTTAATGATTAGTGTGACTTAATTGGCGCAACACAGATAATATGCAATATTCTAATTAGTGAACTCCTTTTCTTAATCAAAATAGCGAAGCTAATCTAAGAGACGGGAGAACCTGTACTCCGCTAATTAGGGCGCGTTAAATATCAAATTTAATTAATTAATAACTCATTAATTATCGTTCGTATTAAAAAATAGCAAATAACTTTACGTTCTGGTTTGACTTGTACTATCTGCGGTTTCAATTATTTGGAGGTTAGTGCGGGACACTCTGTATATTGCTATATTCGTTCATTCATTGCTCTGCTATCGATATATTCTTAAAGAGCTTATCCTAGAACATAAATAAACGTTAAAATAAAATAGATTTTTTATCCTATAAAAAGCACATAGGGTGAAGATATATAAAAAAATTTATGCAAAATTGTCTTTTAAAAATAGAGACAAATTATTTTTATAAATAAAAATCTCTCTCTCTCTCTCCCCTCCCTCCCTATCTCCCTCCCTCTCTCTCTCCTCTTCCTTCCTCTCCCTCTTCCTCTTCCTCTCTATCTATCTATCTATCTATCTATCTATCTGTCCATCTCTCTATCTTTCTCTTTCTCCCTTTGTTTTTCCATTTTGCACGCGCATGACACGGCACCGACTAATTAGCCCTTGACTCATGAAGCGTACGTTCCTGACGAGTTGTCGGCACTTGTCACGATTGTAGCGCGGCCCACTCGAGCGTTTTTACACGTGGCGAGTCACAATGTCGCGCTTCGTTCCGGACATTTCTCGTCCTCGACGGCATACGGCTCGTTGTGATCGCGCGGGGGGCATCGTGTTCGTCGATACACCAACGGGCGCACGACACATGGCTCGTGTCGCGCGATTTCGCGATCTCTTCTCATTGCGCATGCAGAACTCCTCGTGTCTCTTGTAAACTTTATTTTACAGCGGGAACTTATCGCCGCCGTCAGCTGTGACCGACGTCGCACGGTCAATGGTCTTTAAACTGCAGCGAGACTCGTCGTGAAATTAATTAAATTTCCCCGAGTTCTTATCGTGTCCGTGCAAAATTGATCAACGCCCCGCTTAGCGGAGGATCTTCACCGGTGGCGTGCGCAGGATCTTCGGTGTCGTCACGCGAATATCGTGTTTCTCAAATTCGATGTAATATCACGAGCGGTAAATTCCGTCGTAATCGCGGTTATCTCGACAATCTCTTGGAAAAATTCACCGAGAAATATAATCCCGCCTACTTTACAATAAATGGCATGCAGACGTGGTTTTTCGATTGTAGAGAAATATAACGCTTGATATCTGATGTACTGAGAGAAAAAATGGTTAATCACG